AACTGTTGAGAGGTTCACACTGTTCACAGTACCTGTAACTATTGTAACTGCATCCTGCTTGGCAAGTCTACCTGCTGTTGTGAATACCTTCCTTGGTGATTGATTGCATGGAAAGTTCCCCCTGCTACCCCACTTAGTGACTGTATGGAAATACCCTTAGCAACCAGCAATCCTGGGAACCTCCTGCCCCCTGGTTACCAGCCTCCTCCTACTAACTTGCATGTCCCGCTTCTGTAAAATTCCACTTCAGCTAGGCTGCCCCCTCCACTACCTGAATCAAGTTATAAAGGGAAATCAAGCTCCTTCCTTGGGGCCGAGAGATTTTGAGCGTTAGCTGACACTCCGTCACCTGTCTGAATAAAGGACTCAATTTGAACTCAGAGCGTGGTGTTTCCTTCTAACTCGCTCGGATATTACATCTTGACCTCGTGATCCGTCCATCTTGGCCTCCCAAAGTACTGAGATTACAGGCGTAAACCACTGCACCCTGCCTATTTATATACTTTTTGAGACGAAGTCTGGCTTTGTCGCCCAGGCTGGAGTGCAGTGGCACAATCTTGGCTCACTGTAACCTCCACCTTCCAGGTTCAAGCGATTCTCCTGCCTCGGCCTCCCCAGTAGCTGGGATTACAGGCACGTGCCACCACACCCAGCTAAATTATATATTTTAAAACCTATTTGAATAAACTCCAAGAGTTCAGTAATGTTTTCTTCTCAATGGTACACTGTTGAGTTAGCCATGAGTATTGGATCTTTTGTTCTGTATTTGATACTAATTAGAGCTTCTTCATGTAGTTGTGAGGATTTTTGTCTCATTTTTATAGTGAATTATACTATATTCACTATATTATTGGGATGCTTTCAGTTTCAAGTTACCAAAACCTCAACTCAAACCGACTTTAAGAAATAAGGAAATTAGCCCATATAGCTGGGATTACTGGTGCCTGCCACCACACTGGGCTAATTTTTTGTATTTTTAGTAGAGTCGGGGTTTCACCGTGTTAGCCAGGTTGGGCTCAAACTCCTGACCTCAGGTGATCCACCCGCCTAAGCCTCCCAAAGTGCTGGGATTACAGGTGTGAGCCACCAAGTCCAGCCTATTATTTTGTTTTTAATGTTCAAATAATTCATATTATTTGAACATTAAAAGCTTTTAAAAATTATGTAAGCATTCTGGATCATTGTTATCTTTAAAAATTTGTATTAGGATTTGTGAGGACCAACAAGTAGTGACCACCGTCTCTGCTTGCTGAAAAGCTGCAGAGGCCACCAGGAACCCACACACCTGAGACTTTTATCTTTACCCAAGAAAGGAATAGAAGAGGTCAGACGATGACAACTGTGTCCTCAACAGCCAGGCCCCAGTGCCACCCACTTCCAAAACAGCTTTGGTCTCTCATCTGGAGCAAGGGAAAGAGCCCTGTTTCACCCAACCACAGGGAGTCCTAAGCAGGAGGGACTGCAGAGCAGGCTTTATAGGAAACTTGGAACCGAGAAGATATACTTACTTAGCTAAAGCAATGTTACATGTAATAAAATAAAAAATTCTTCAAAATCATCGATGCTGGGAAGACAGGAGAAAGGCTTAATTCTAGACATTTAAATACCAGTTTTCCAAGTAAGGAGTTGATGTAAGAGCCACCTTAAACGACGTCAAATGCATATTTTCTTTTTCTGTAGATTTAATGTTTTTCATTCATTAAAATGATTCATTTTGATGTACAAAAAAATTGTATTAGTGGAAACTTTCTTAATTTTAGAAGGTTCACTGATAAATTCAACTTGTTATTCAATAAATTATTTTTTTGTTTTTGAGAAAGGGTCTTACTCTGTCACCTAGGCTGGAGTGCAGTGGCACAATCACAGCTCACTGCAACCTTGACCTCCCAGGCTCAAGTGATCCTCCCACCTCAGCCTCCTAAGTAGCTGACACTACAAGTGCAGACCACCATGCCCAGCTAATTTTTCTTTATTTTTTTGTAGAGACAAGGTTTAGCCATATTGCCCAAACCAGTATTGAACTCCTGGGCTCAAGCAATCCACTTGCCATGGCCTCCCAAAGTGCTGGGATTATAGGAGTGAGCCACCAATCCCAGCCAATAAACTAATTTTTTTAAAAAAAAGTCATTGAAAACAGTTTTGTTTTTTTTTTTTTTCTGTCTCTAACAACCAGGATCACCATTATCCTACGGTTTCTGCGTTTTTGTTTGTTTCGTAGTTGTTAGATAGTTGCTGGTAGCAACCAAATTACCTGTTTTCCTTGTTCAACTCTGGCGGGAGAGAGGCTGACTTCTCATAGTTCTTACCTAGATGTGGGAAAGAACATTTCCAGAAGTCTCTAAAAAACCTTTCTTCATGCTTTTAGTCCACACATGAATTACATAACCATATGTAGTTATGAACCATATCACTGAACCCATCACTGGCAAGGGTGATGGAATTTCAGTCTAACCTTGGGGCTTTACCTGAAAATTTTACTTGTGTGGGAGAGGATAAGGATGGGAATCTAACCAAGTCAGAATTCTGTTAAAGAAGAAATATTGGATGAGGGCTAACACCAGCATCTACTAAACATACTATTTTGCATTTCTTGTGATCACATTTCATTTTTCTTATGAAAGCAAAATTTTATTATCGATTCATGGATTAAAGCAATAAATTTATTAAAAATTATGATGTATTTCCAAGTTCATTCAGCTCAAGATGTATTTTACTTTTTGAGACTTCCTCTTTAACAATGTACAAGTTTGGGGAGATTTTTCTGTTACGTTATTGACTTCTAGTTTGATTCATTTATGGTCACAGAGCATATTTTATATTGTTTCACTTATATTAAATGTGTTAGAGTTTGTTTCATAACCCAAGATAAGGTCTATCTTGGTGAATGTCTCATAAATGCTCAAAAAATGTGTATTATGTATTGGCTGATGGTACTGTTCAGTTCTCCCTTCTCCTACACACTTGCTTTTTGTCTACTTGGTTTATCCATTACTAAACAAGGGGTGTTGAAGTCTCCCACTGTAACTGTAAACTTGTCTATTTATTCCTTTTAGTTCTGCCCATTCTTAGATCATATACTTTACAGTTGTGTTATTTGATGCATGCACATCTGTTGTCTTTTTTGTGATCTGACCCCTTCATCATTATGTAATATATCTCTTTGTCCCTGGCAATTTTCTTTTTTCCTAAAGTCTACCTTGTCTGATAGTAATTCATCCACTCCAGCTTTCTCTGAATTAGTGTTTTGCAAGGTTTATCTTTTTCTATCCTTTTACTCTTAGTTTACTGATATTGAGATTTACTAATAAATTAAATCAGTTAATTCCCCAATATTTTGAGTTTCCTGTAGATAGCATTTGGTTGGGTCAGGTTTTTAAATTCACTCTCACAATCTTGATGTGTTTAGACCACTTACATTCAATGTAATTACTGATATATGAGGTTATAGATCAGTCAATTGATTGTTTTTTTTTTCCTGTTTCTCCTCTTACCTGTGTTCAAGTGGGTTATTTGGGAATTCTTTAGTGGTGCATTTTGATTTATCTACATTTGTGACTGTATCTCTTCATAGTTTTTCAGTGGTTGAAGACTGCAATATGCACATGAAGCTTACTGCAGTCTACTAGTATCAACAGCTACCATCTGAAGTGGAATGTGGATCTTTAACCACCATTTAAGTCCCTTTTACTGCCCCAACCCCGTGATATAATAGGCTAAAATACTTCCTCTACATACATGAAGAACCACATCAATGTTGTAATTTTTACTTTAACTTTTGACAAGTATAATTGGATATTAACTTGTCTTTCATAACAAGCTCAGTATCTGCATATCTACTCATTTACTCAACATCCATTCAACCATGAACTTGTTAGCCACTTTTCCATCCACTATGCATTCAATTTATCCATCTGTGATCCTTGAAATTCATCTGAAACTTGTTTCTGATGTGTTTGAGTCTGACCAAAAGCCTGATAGGCCTGTAAGCTCATCCTCTGAGATCTATTCTTTCTTTTCCTTTTTAACTAATTCAGATGTTGTTTTGTAAGTGCTTACATTTATTTCAGGAAGTACTCTCCCCAACTGAACCATAAGCATCTTGGCAGTGAATTTCTATTTGTTTTGTGTATTTCCCTAGGACCTGCTGTGGTGTTCTAGCATCTAAGTGATACCTAACTCTACAAATTACTACTGATTAAAAAAGTAATTCAGCCATCTATGCACCCACTATACACCAAGTTTTCCACAAAACTTCCTATACATTTAGCACTAGCACCCAAAACACCTTGACCCTGAGAAACCTGTGACCATGAGTTATTTTTGAAGAGCAAAAATTCTGAGATCAAAATTTCCTAATCTTAAACAGTTGGCTCTAAAAACGTATTCCAGGCTGGGCGTGTTGGCTCACTCTTGTAATCCCAGCACTTTGGGAGGCCGAGGCAGGTGGATCACCTAAGGTCAGGAGTTCGGGACCAGCCTGACCAATATGGTGAAACCCCGTCTCTACAAAATAAATAAATAAATAAAATAAAATAAATAAAAACGTATTCCAAAACATTCTTAGAAAGTTTTGCCCTGCCAGGCATGGTGCCTTATGCCTGTAATCCCAGCACTTTGGGAGGCTGAGGTGGGCAGACAGCCTGAGGTCAGGAGTTCAAGACCAACCTGGCCAACATGGTGAAACCCTGTCCTACTAAAAATACAAAAATTAGCTGGACGTGGTGGCACATGCCTGTAATCCCCACTACTTGGGAGGCCGATGCAGGAGAATCACTTGAACCTGGGAGGCGGAGGTTGCAGTGAGCCAAGATTGCACCATTGCATTCCAGCTTGGGTGACAAAAGCAAGACTTCGTCTCAAAAAAAAAAAAAAGTTTTGCCCCAAATATTTAGCCACAAAATGGTCATATTCTTTCATAACTCCCTCACTCTTTTGTCTATCTATCTGATATCACACACATACCCTTGTACACAGCTAACACATTACATTCAATTACCCCATTGTAAAAAAGGAATAATTTATTTCTATATGATTTTAATAATATTCCCTAAGTAATTTGTAATTAAGGTTTTCTTCAAATTCAAATTAAGAAATTTATATTTGTCATAGTACATTTCAATAGTATTTGATAAGGCTTTTTCAGGTCGATTAATTTTGTTTCTTACAAATATAACTCAAGCTTGCTCCAGTTCCACAAGGACTCCACCACAGTCTTTAGGATGGAGAAAAATCACTGGTTTTCCATGTGCTCCTATTTTAACCTCTTCACTTAGACTACGGATCTTCTTTTTTTTCAAATCCATCACAGCTGCATTTATGTTATCCACCTTAAGAAAAAGAAATAAATTGAATGCATTTGAGATCATAAAAACACCAAATTACAGTATCAGAAGACTTAGAAAAAACTTTGAGAGCTCATACAGTCTATCTCCTCTGCCTGTGGGCAGGGCCATTCTTAAACCACCACAAAAAATAAGCTTAAAATTTCCAGAATAGTAAAAGAAGTTACTAAATTTTTCTAGGTAAGCAACCACAATGCTTAGAATTTTCACCATTAGTAAATGTTTCTTCTTATAATCTAAATCATGTATGTTATACTTTATAATAGTTTATCCTGGCAGTACTATTAGTGAGATTAAAGAACTTCTTTTTCCTGAGAACCTTGGGTTCCTCATCTATAACAGGAAAATGAGGTCTACAGAGTAAATTGACTGCAAAGTAAATGAGCTAACAGATAAAAAGCTCTCAGTACAATTGATGACATTAGTAGATACTTAGCAAATATGAGTGTTTCCCTGATGCCCAAAACCTGCCCTGCCACCGTTTGGTTATTACCTTTGACGTTATCAAGATACACATGGAAATCAATATTAAATTGCCATCAAAATGTTATTCCCCATCCAAAAAAAAAATTCAAACTTTAGTATTTTTGTAACCTTTTCTAAGGTATTTCTATTTTCTTCATACTTATTTACACTCTAGGAAAGGAGCAGATGTGTCTCTCTATACTTGATGGAGAAATTATCTGCCTGTATCTTGGAAAGTCACCCACTTAGACTGGGAACCTAGTAAATGGGTGAAAAGGTACGATATGAATGGCCATATTCCTAGGCAGTCATAAATCACTAGAGTTTAATTAAAATCACTAATTTTAAAAAACACAGAAGCACAGAGTAGTAAAACACCCATGAACCTATCACACAGATCTAATAAATATGACTATTTACACAATTTTATTTCCAAAGAGCCAAGGATTATATACTGAACTCCAAAACCGGTCAAACAACTGATGAGGATACTGAATGTTACCATAATGATTTCCTCATATGGCACATATTCTACTTGTATTCCTGATATTTCTTTTTTAAACCTCATAGCTATATCAAAGTCATGCATGCCTAGATTCTGAACACAGCTCATTTTATAACAATTTGCACTGTAGCCGGTTAATTCTCATCTTTTTCACAGTAGAACATGCACAAGAAGCTTGTGGCAGGACTGATCATCCTTAGTGAGGAAAATGGTCCTCACTGTCAGACACTGTCAATTCTATCTTATTTTAAAATTCGTATCAATATTATTAAGCTTTTTTTCTACTGTGTTAGGTGGGATTGGAGCAGCTTTTAATTTAGCACTAATTTTCCTCACTACAAAGCCAAGGCCCTTCTGAGTACTCTACCCAATGTTACAGAAATTACTATGACTAGTAAGAAAAAACTACCCTCTCTGTGTGTGGATTATTCCCTCTCATCCTTTCAAGGGGTTCTACTTCCAGCCTAAGGTAGTTTCCTAACATGCGTGCAATACTCGACGCTCAGATGAAGACATGAAAGGTACTGCAGATCTTTGGAGTTCATTCTGTGTGCAGCTCTTCTTTCCAGGAGAGAGCTGTGAAAGCATCATGGCCTCCTCAGACTTCCAACTCCTATCTCCTCAACTCAGGGAGACCGCGAAGTTCCGCATGGATTCCCCCTTCCTACGCTGCAGTCTGGAAACTCTCTACAGCCAGTAAACTGGGTAATTGTAGGGCTCATCTTGTTTGTTTACCCTCTCTCAGAAATCAGTTCCTGTGCTGACTGATGTCTAATGCCCAGAAATCCATTATTTCATGTATTTTGTCTAGGTTGCTTGTTTGCTTCAGGCAGGAGGATAAACTGATCTCTTTTACACCATCGTGGCTAGAATCAGAATTTTTAATTGGCAGGTTTTGCCTGTCAGCAACTAAAAAATGTCATTACATGTCATTCTATAATTTATCTTTTTTACTTTTATTGCTTTTAAGATTTTTCTCTTCATCTTTGATTTTCAGTTTGACTATGGTGTGCTTAGGTGTGGTTTTCTTTCATATACATGTATATTTTTTTGAGATGGAGTCTCACTGTTGCCCAGGCTGGAGTACAGAGCTGTGATCTTGGCTAACTGTAACCACTGCCACCTGAGTTCAAGCAATTCTCCTGCCTTAGCCTCCCGAGTAGCTGGGATTACAGGTGCCTGCCACTGAGCCCAGCTAATATATATATTTATTTTTTTGAGACAGAGTCTCGCTCTGTCGAGGCTGGAGTGCAATGGCACGATCTTGGCTCACTGCAACCTCTGCCTCCTGGGTTCAAGCAATTCTCCTGCCTCAGCCTCCTGATAGGTGGGATTACAGGCACGAGCTACCATGCCAGGCTAATTTTTGCATTTTTAGTAAAGACTGAGCTTCACCATGTTGGCCAGGCTGGCCTTGAACTCCTGGTCTTGACCTCAAGTGATCTGCCTGCCTTGGCCTCCCACAGTGCTGTGATTAAAGGCGTGAGCCACCACACCTGGCCTGGTGTGGTTTTGTTTGCCCTACTTGGGGTTGCTGAGTTTCTTGAATCCATAGATTGATGTTTTACATCAGATTGGTAGTGTCCTTGTCAACTATTTTTTCAATTATTGCTTCTGTTCTATTTTCTCTCTTTCTTTTCTGGGATACCAATTATAATCTACTGGAACTTTAGGCCATGTCCTACATCTTTTTTATGCTCTGCTTTCTTTTTCTTCCATATTTTTTACCTCTTGATTTTGGAATTCTAGTTTCTAGAACTGTGAAAAGAATAATTTCTGTTTTAAGCCACTATGTTTATGATCATTTATTATAGCAGCCCTAGAAGATGAATACAACTGCCATACGTCATACCAAAATTGAACAATGAAGGAGATGAATGGCTGATGGTGGGAGGTAAGTTTCTCATTGTTGGAATGAGAAGATAAAAGGCTAGTGTGGTCTATGTGGTAATGGATTAGAGCCAGAGACATCACTATGCACTCAGGAGTTATGACTTCTCATAAATTCTATAACATAGTTATATATAGAAATGGGTATAGATAGGTGTATATACACAGTATACACACATATATCTCCCTGCTGTGTTGGCTTAGTAGGCCAAGAACCAATGATATCCCCCAGTAGCAATAACCACACCTAGAACTCAGATCTTGGCTTTTAATACCATTCTCCAGTAGTAGGAACCAGGGCTCCTAGAAGAAATGGCTACGTCAATGGCTAGGGCAAAGAATATAGAAGATGCATTTGGAGCACCTTACAGTGCCAGAAAAAGAAAGGAAGTCTTTCAAAAACAAAAACAAAACACAAAACCAAAAATGATGGGGTATGTTAAAGGGACACAAGGATCAACTGAAAGAGCTCCTAACAGCCAAAGCTGCAACAATCTGAGGGGAAAAAAAGTAATATTAGATTGTAATGCAAGTTATAAAATAAATATCCACAAGTCCATACTGATAAAACTCCCCATTCCTTAAGTGTGGGACTTGAATAATGACTTCCTTCCAAAGGGGGATAGTATGGAGGAGAAAAAAAGTTTTCCAGTGGAGAAACCTGACACTTCCTCCTCACCTGGGGGAATCAAGGTTAATATGAACAGAAGTAAGTCATGTTGATAGTATGAATCCTTGATATGATGTGATGAGAATGGCACTTTACCTCCATGGGCTTTCTCCCCAGAATCAATAACATGAGTCCAATAAGAAGAAAAATATCACACAAATCTCAACTGAGGGACAGTTTACAAAATAACTGACCAGTAATCCTCAAAAGTGTCAAGGTCATCAGAAACAAGGGAAGGAGACTGTAGAAAAAGGTTAAGAAATAAAACAAAAACCAAAGAAAGTCTAAGAAACTGCCACATGCAAGAGAAGCCTCAGCAGGTATGATGGCTAAATGTAATGTGCTAAGGGTGGGGGAGTGGGGGAAGGGAGAGCATCAGCATAAATAGCTAATGCATGCAAGGGACAACATCAGCATAAATAGCTATCTAGGTGATGCGCTGACTGGTGCAGGAAACCACCATGGCATACATTTACCTAAGTAACAAACCTGCATGTCCTACACATGTATCCTGGAACTGCAAATAAAATAAAAGTAAATTAAAAAATAATAATAAATGTGACGAAAAATCCTAGATGGGATCCTGGAATAGAAAAAGGACATTGGGTAAAACTAAAAAAATCAGAATTAAGTACAGACTTTAGCTAATAACAATAAATCAGTATTGGTTCACTAATTGTGATAAATGTATCAAAATATTATGATGTTAATAATTTTTTAAAAGAGCCTGAAGAGATTAACCACCATTTATAATGAGTGGATCTTGTTTTTATCCTGATTAGAAGAAATCAACTATAAAAAGATATTTGTAAATCAATCTGTGAATTTTAATTTATGAGCTGTGTATAGATGGTGCCAAAAGATTTACCTTTAATTTTGACTGAAGTGCGAGAAAATAAAGATGATAATGTCACTGTGGTTATTTTCCTATTTCTTAGAGATCTAAACCAAATAAGGGTAAAATGACATGTTGTTAATTTAAAACAATATAATAAGGAAAAAAGAAAAAGATGACGTGTAGCAAGATCTTGAAAACTGTTGAACATGGGTGGTGAGAGTACAGGAGTTTGTGATATGATTTTTCTTTTTTTAAAAATATATACTTTATTGCACTTTAGGTTCTGGGGTACATATACAGAACAGGCAGGACTGTTGTACAGGTACATACATTGCAATGTGGTTTACTGCCTCCATCCCCATCACCTATATCTGGCATTTCTCTCCATGTTATCCCTCCCCAACTCCCTACCCCCTGCTGTCCCTCCCCTAGTCCCCTAGAACAGACCCCAGTGTGTGATGATCCCCTCCCTGTGTCCATGTGTTCTCATTGTTCAACACCCGCCTATGAGTGAGAACATGTGGTGTTTGATTTTCTGTTCTTGTGTCAGTTTGCTGAGAATGATGGTTTCCAGATTCATCCATGTCCCTACAAAGGACACAAACTCATCATTTTTT